GGGGGGCATGGAGCGGGGCTGACAACGCTTCGCGATAGAGAAGGTTATGAGCCCCTCGACCTCCGGCTCCAGCGGCGCCAGTAAGGGCCGGACGCCACCGCGGACGCGGCCGCTCCACGACGCTCACCCTCACACAACCCCGAAGGACATAGATTCGTCAAATCGATATCAAGGTGACGTCAAATTTCAGCTGTTTTGACTTTTGTCGTAATTTTGATACCACTTTGGCAGATCTCTCCCTTTCGGATACGCTCCAGTCGTTATCGCAACGATAATGTAAGACGCTGGACGAGGAAGGGGGCTTTCCTGTCGGCCATGCCACGTGGAAGAACTAAAAGAATTAACAGTGTGCCACTGCCTGAACACCACGTGGTGTTTCGGGAGCCCCGCCGGCGGCCACGCTCGCGCCACGTTCACGCCACGCTTCACTGGTGTGAAACACACATCCATTTCTTCCCTCACTAGGCAGGTTCCTGGCATGATTACCACTGCTTCCGTTTCGAAGCAGACGTTTCGAGTCGTAACGAGATTTGAGGCTGGCGATAATCATCTCCGCACACGTGACTGACCTGTACTGGAAAGAGCCGTCGGGGTTGACGTCGTTGGAGTACTGGAGGATGGGCGCGGCGGCCGCCCGCTGCTGGTAGTTCTGGAACTGCTGGTTCTGGAGGTACTGCTGGTAGGGCTGCTGCGCTCGGTACTGGGGGATCTGCAGGGCCAGGGCGGAGCCCACCGTCAGGCACAGGGCGACCAGTTCCTGTGCGGACAAACAGAGCAGCGCCATGATCATTCCAAGTTCTAAGTTATTTTTTTAAAAAATCCGTCCAGTTCTTTTCCTTGCGCCGGTTTCAACCTCGCGCACTTTGTTTTAATAGTCCGAGGCACGGAAAGAGATGCGCGGTGCCGCAGCTTGGAGGCTTTGCGAGACAGAGAACGAGCGAAGGGGATCTTTCAATGGGTGCGAGGGAGAGGAAAGATAGAAAATGGTATACACTTGGCTGGGTTTTTACTTCGCAAGATGACAAAAAAATGTATTGGACCTTGTTGATTGGCCAGAGCTAGGAGCGGGAGCGGGGAAAGCTTTGGCATTGATTCATTGATTATTGACGAAGATTCGAAATTGAAAGCCCAAAGGTCCACTCTGAGTGCACCTCGGATCGGCACTTCGTGACCGCTACTTCAGGACTGTGAGATAATTATTATTTTGGGCTGCCAAAAAAGGGGACACTGTTATTTCTGAGCAGCAGAAAGTTTGTCTATTTTTCTGTCCAAAACGAATGCAGTCTAAGAATTCAGGATGAAATACTCAGTTTAAGTGTCCATATTGTGGCCACGCTGCTAGAATTTTTCCGAAACTTGAAACGGAATTTATTATCTTAAAAATATGCCGTTTTGAGAGATAGTTTCAAATTTTCTAAATATTCTTAACACAGTTTCCTTAATGAACTGATGTTCGACTACTTTACCAGCTTCATGATGGTCTCGTGAGGTGAGGTAGTTGCTGCTACGAGGGGTCTGAGTGTTGTGATACTGACGGGGGGCGGGCCTCCAGTTTTATACTTCGCGACCGGGTGGGGCGGGGCGGGGCGGGAGGGGCTGGACGCGGAGCTCCGCGGAGGAGCCTCGCTGTCTGGGACCGTGGCATGGAGGAGGGGGCCTGGGAGACGCGTGTGGGTCTCCAGTTGTGAGGGTGGCGCGTGGTGCTGGGGAGGGTTGCAAAAACCGTTCAAACCAATTGGTTTAAACCAGCCCCTGCTGAAATTTCGACTGAGCTTTGGTTGCATCCGTCGGGAACGTGGAGGAACGTGGCTATTTTTTGGAAAAGCAAGTGTGTACAACTTATGCAACAATACTGCGTAGAATCACAATGTATGCAGGTATGAATTCGTTCTCGCGAGACCCTGATAAAAACCAGCAAAGATCAGCCTCTGCAAGCTCTCATAGCGCCTGGTGGGTAGGCAACTTCTTGCCTGCAGTGCATGCGTGCACTGCGGGGTGGCCTACCCTGCGTCCCGCAGGCGCCGGGCTCCTGGTACGTGCTGAATGAATCTGAGAAATCGGACGTCGTACTTTTTAAACGACCACTTACTCGGCGCCATGGTCGAAGACGACAGGCGCTGGTCCGCACGCTTTGGACGTGACTGCGTTTGCCAACGCAATTTTGACTAGTGTAATACAAGTAAATCAATTTGCGCATTACAAAAAGTTTCAGTTGTAAGGGACGTGTTCAAGGACAAATTTATCAATTGAAAGGCGCATTAGTTAGTTGTCACTTGTACGAGGTGGCTGATGCTCACTCCGCTTACTCTCGTACTTATACTGTACCGCACGCACGGTTGCGGGCGGGTTTACCTTGCCATGTGAGTATGCAACATACCCACACGCGTGCATGCGATACAGTATAAGTACGAAAGTGCGCGGCGTGAGCCAGCCACCTGGTATATTGTTAGATACAGTATTGTATCTGAAGTCGGTTACGCACACAGAAGGCCAATGCAAGTTACGGTAATTGTCCTCATACATTTCGAGGGTGTAGATTCTTAAACGATTCTCTGCTTTTTCCGGAATTTTGCTTGTCAAATACATAAAAATATATGCTTGATATTTCGACATTTTGAGAATCACTCTCACACAAGCGCGAGCCGCGGCTGGGCAGGCGGGGGGCCGGGGAGCCTGCCGGGCCACGGCAGCCCCCCGCGCGTCCGCACCATTTGTTAGCAAAACCATTGGAAATAATTGACGGCAGGGCCATCTCATATAGCATGTCCCGTGTGTTGTGCGGCTCCCAGCTCTTTTTCACGCCCGACTACGATCACGTGATGACCTCATTGCTAGATTCGTCAAGTTCACCGGGTAGCCGTCGCCGTTACGCTCCCCCCCCCCCCTTCAACTCGTTGTCAGGTGCATATAGCGTTACCGATTTATCACACCTTTGGCGACGGCCAGTTGTTCGTACTTTTTTCTTGTTCTTCTGTCTTGGTTACTGTTACTACTCCTCCAACAAGAATGATTGATACCTTATCAGCACCTTCGGATGGACCACACGGAGGAGCCAGCATATTTGACACTCGGAGCCCATACTTATGAGACAACCATTTCAAGTTCACTTTTTCAGTGTGGACTCTAGGAACGGCGAGCGACTCGTCCCCAAACAGCGTGCGTTCTTTATGATTGAAGTCGGTCGACTCGGCAGCATCGCAACACGTGCCCAGAATTCTATCGACACTCTCGAGTGCCGATGACGACTAATACAACGGCCTCCGGAGGAAAATAGGAAAAAAAGGGGCAAAGATTTACACGAATGTAAGCGACCTTCTTGGAGGGATGTCCTGATGTACCTGCATGTCCGTCTCGCTCGGTGTGGGCATCTCACACGGAGAGAAAAGATTTGCTGCCACAGCTGTTTTATTGCTGCGGTAGCAATTTTTGGCTGCTAACATAGCGCCTACAACATTTCTAGCTGTGCCAGCAAACTTAAATTGCTGAATGTTTCTTTGCTGATGCAGCAACGGAATTTGCTGGTGTTACAATCCCAGTGAGCCGCGTATGGAATAGCAATCGCCCGAATTGCTCTGTCAGCAATCTATATTGAAGCAATGGGTGCAAGCTGATCTGCTGTGGTATCAATATTGCCCCCCCCCCCCATTTTGAATATTGATATGGTAGAAATGAAAAGGTCGTATTTCATATACTGTTTCCCTTTATTTCGCTAAAAACATATGACGTGACACATGACACAATAGGCAAAAAAAATCGTTCAAATTAAATAATTTTTGGTGACATAACCTAGCCGTTCATCAGAATCCAACACGGACGAATCTTGGACAACCACTTTGTTGTCGTATGTCGTTTCTTCAAAACTCTCAAAAGTGATCAAAAATGAAAACAACACTTTACCATTAATATAAAGCAATGTTCATAGAGTTCATATGCGAGT